AGGACACATCCGCGGTAGCGCAGGGACGCGGCCCGCGGGCTGGGAGAAGGCGACGTGCGGTGGCCGTGGGGGCGCGGTGGCCGTGGGAAGTGCGGGGGCGCGGGGAGCCGGTCCCGGCGGGGCCGCCCCGAGGGACCCGCGGCGCGGGGGGCGCGCTCGGCCCGCGGCGGCACTGGCGGCAGGCACGGCGGCGACACCTGGCGGCGCTTCGGCGGCACTGCCCGCGCTGCCAGCCCGGCCAGCCCTGCCCTGCCTTGCCCTGCCCTGCCCTGCCAGCCCTGCCCTGCCAGCCCTGCCCTGCCCTGCCCTGCCCTGCCAGCTCTGCCCTGCCCGCCCTGCCCGCCCTGCCCCGCCAGCTCTGCCCTGCCAGCCCTGCCAGCCCTGCCCTGCCCTGCCAGCCCTGCCCTGCCAGCCCTGCCTTGCCCTGCCCTGCCCTGCCAGCCCTGCCCTGCCAGCCCTGCCAGCCCTGCCCTGCCAGCCCTTCCCTGCCCTGCCCTGCCCGCCCTGCCCTGCCAGCCCTGCCCTGCCCTGCCCTGCCCTGCCAGCCCTGCCAGCTCTGCCCTGCCCTGCCAGCCCTGCCCTGCCAGCCCTGCCCTGCCAGCTCTGCCCTGCCAGCCCTGCCAGCTCTGCCCTGCCCTGCCAGCCCTGCCCTGCCAGCCCGGCCCTGCCCTGCCCTGCCAGCCCGGCCAGCCCTGCCAGCTCTGCCCTGCCCTGCCTTGCCCTGCCCTGCCCTGCCAGCCCTGCCCTGCCAGCCCTGCCAGCTCTGCCCTGCCCTGCCAGCCCGGCCAGCTCTGCCCTGCCAGCTCTGCCCTGCCCCCTGCCCTGCCAGCTCTGCCCTGCCAGCCCTGCCAGCTCTGCCCTGCCCTGCCCGCCCTGCCCTGCCCGCCCTGCCCTGCCAGCCCTGCCCTGCCCTGCCCTGCCCGCTCTGACAGCTCTGCCCTGCCCGCCCTGCCCTGCCAGCCCTGCCCGGCCCTGCCCTGCCGGCCCTGCCCTGCCAGCTCTGCCGTGCCCTGCCAGCTCTACCAGCTCTGCCCTGCCAGCTCTGCCAGCTCTGCCCTTCCAGCTCTGCCCTTCCCTGCCCTGCCCTGCCCTGCCCCTCCTGCTCTGCCAGCTCTGCCCTGCCCTGCCAGACCTGCCAGCCAGCCCTGCCCGTCCTGTCCGACCAGCCCGGCTCCTCCTTCTGCCCGTCATGCCCGCCGGCCCTACCTGATCTGACCGCTGGCCCTGCCCTCCCTGCCCGCCGGTCCTGCCGGCAGGTGCTGCCACCCTTTGGCCCAGCTCTGCCCGCGGGCCCTGCCCGCCCCTCCCACCAGCCGGAGGCCGCCTGGCAGGGCAGCTCCAGCGGCTGTCCCGGTGTCTGAGCACGCAGCACGCTCCTGCGCAGCCCCGACTGTCCCCTCTACCTCAGGCCGCCATATCAGCATAGGGCCAGTCTCCGGGCGTGTTCAGTCTATATTGTCTGTGAAATGTCACTGGCAAGTCAAGGACACTTGCACAGCGTGTCCCCGAGTCCCGCGGGCCCTGCACACCGTGCCTCCCGGCAGAAACCCACGGGACGCTAGGCGAGTTTCGCAGTTTCATGGCTCTGAGTTTCACAGTTACATGGCTCTGAGTTTCACAGTTTCACAGTTTCACGGTGCCTTCTGAGGCTGCCTCTGCACACAGACGGGGCTTCACTCAAACGATAAAGCCCATGTCCGGTCACAAAGGGGCTCGGCCGGTGGTTCACTTTAGGCTGCAGCTGCGGCAGGCTGCCGAGCTGGTCCAAGGTCAGGGTCCCGAGGTCCCCGCGCTGCTTCGGAGCGGAGGGGGCAGGCAGAGAGCGGCCAGCACCAGCCCGTGACCCCAGAGCTCAAGTTCAACGCCCGCAGTGCTCAGCCGCCCGTGGCCGCTGCACCGAGACCACGCGGGGAGCCCCGAGAAAAGTTTCTCCGTCTCGAAACGGATTATTTAAGGCTGAAGTAACTAAAGAAGTGAGAGGCTGTGGGATAGATCTGAAGGGGGAAATAGTTTAACAATTCTCTACGTGTTGCTGTTCAATCTATTCGTTATCATAACTGGCTATTTTTTAAAGGCATGGCGGAAAATGAAAGTTCTTCTGTTCTGTTTAGCTATTAAAAGTTCATACAAATTAAAAGGTAACAATGGAACGCAGTGGAAACGGGATAAGGTTTGGGAGACATATCAATCGAGTGGTTTTGTTTGTGTTCTCTGTTTGTCCTGGAAGAAAATTTTTTTTCTTATACCGAACACTAACATAAGAAGCAGTTTCCTATCGACACAATTACCATCGGCAAATTCGGGCGAGGGAGGAGATAAAAAATCGGAGGGGTTCCTGTAAGAGATGGATACTAGGCTGATGCCAAAAGCCTGTGCTAAAAGTTTGAGTGGAATCCTAGCTGTATTAAATCATGGTGAATGCACTTGTCTAAATGAGATGATTTCCGGATTGTAAAATTTTTTTTAAAAACCAAAACAACAAAACCCACAACCTTTTCTTCTGGGGAAGCACAAGCACGCCTGTAGCGTTGCTTTCTAGCTCATGTATTCTGCAGATTCCCATGCCATGTGTCAATGGAAAATGCGACGCGACTCCTCGGGGCGCTGGCCACCCGCGGAAGCGCTGCCCAGAGAGGACAAGGACGGCCTGGCAGGGAGGGAGACCCGGCCAGAGCGGCCGGTCCTCCTGCCCTGCCCGACACGGCTGAGCCCCGATGGGAGCTGCTCTCCCTGGGCAAAGGAAGCGCAGGGCTGCTCGGGGCCTCCGCCCGGCCCCCTGGACCGGGGGTGCGGGACCCATCCTGCTACTTGTAAACTGGGTGGGTGCTCTCCGAGCTCCGACCTTTGCTCATGAGATCATTTATTCCTGTGTATAATATCCTGCCGTGCAAGGCAATGCTGTTTTCTACACCCTTCACAAAGCAGCTGATTATAGAATTGAAGCTGTTGGTCATGAACCCGCCCAAAGAGGTTCTTGGTACACCGAGGGGCTCTCGCTGGAGCAGAGGTCTCGGCAGGGCTGAAGACTTCTACGGGAGCCGCTGCGGCTGCACCGTGGTTTCCTTTGATGCAATCGACCTCAAAAAGCTCCGCAACTCTGCTCTTTAGATGTTCCTTTCTTTCGCGGCCTTATTTAAAGGTCCTGAGATGAGAGAAATTTTTACTACATTTATTGAAAGAGGAAACACAACAGGACGTGGGAATACACATAGAAAGATGTCCAGAGAAATAAAGTCCTTCGTTTTTCTGGGCTTCTTTTTATAGCAGCGTTTTCGGTAGAAAGTTGCTTGCAGCGACATAAGAGGGTGAGAAAATTGTTCTTCGACAAAACTTCCTTCTAATTACGGAGCGTTTAATGTCCTGAGAGTAAAAGCTGATTCGGCTTATAACTGAAAGAAACGTGTAATCACGCCTGGCTCGCTCCTTAGCTGATTACGAAAGATTAATAGCAAATATGCGGTCAGAGCTAATGAACATGAACTCGTCTATGACATTCGGCTGTTCCGTGATTATGGGCACCCGTTTGTCATTCCAAACCCCCTTCCAGGTACCGCCGGCGATTATTAGACCGGCTACAAAGTGGGGCTGCGTGACGGGCGCTGCTGTGGGACCTGCGGCTGTCCCGCACAGCCCAGCGTCCGGGGACCCCCGCCACCACCTGCCCGGGCTGCTCGGCAAGGGCACCCCAGAGCCCCGCAGTGGTGCCGGCACAGAGTTTCACCTCCATGGCGGCTGCCTCTCCTCTCATGCGCCTGAGCCTCCGCAGGGACAGTAAACACAGCCTCAGCTCTAGGGTTTTCAGCGGCGCCGAGTTTCCCTGTCCTTCCCCGCGAAGCTGACACTTTTCCCAGCAACTTCTTGCCCTCCGCGCCCAAGAGAGAGCAAAGTGTGCAATACACAACTGCGGAGCGACTGGACTCGGTCCAGAGGGGTAGGGATCTGAGTTGTGGTTGAGGTTGTGGTTGGGGCTGGAGCTGGAGTTGGGAGTCGTCTTCGGAGCTTTCTCCATTTCCAGTACTTCGCGCTCCTGCATTTCCATCTCGACTCGGTGTGAGAGTCGAGGGAGACGACAGAAGGATTTGCCACCGTCTTGGGAAGTGACCACGAGAACAGCCGTCAGCGTAAGCAAACTGCGTTTTAACTAGGCTGCCTTACCACGACATGAAGTGACACTGCACGGGGAAAAAGCCACATCTAATGAGTGCCAGGTTCACCATCTTGCGCTGCGCACAGCCCCCGTGCATTTTCCTAGCCGGGAGCGATATCGGGGGTGTTGGGGGCGGTAAGGGGGGGGGGGGTAAAAGGAGGGTTCTCCCAGGGACCGACAGCTCAGTGAAGCCAGGGGACCCCTTTTCCCATAGAACAAAGCCCATCTACTCCATATATCGCCGGGAAGAAGGGAGGTGGGGAGGATGGAATACAAAGACTGTGTTGGGGTTTTCCCCCCTCTTGCAGAGGCAACAATGAACTGGAGAAGGTCTCGCTGTGGATCCGGTGAGACCCCTGTCCGTGGCTGTAAAAAAGGCCCCCGCCGGCGGCCTCAAAAGGTCCAGTGGTACTCGGCTGGCCTTTTTGAAGCCGCGAGCAGGAGGAAGGGGGAGATGAAGCAACGGGGGCCTAGGTCGGTCCGGAGGGGCATCACCGCTGCTCGCCCGCGCAATCTCCCCCCGCTCCAGCGCCGGGGCCGTGGCGGGGCGGGAGCGCGGCGGCGGGGCGGGGGTGGGAGTGGAGGGTGGGGGCGCCGTCGGTGCCGACCGGGGGGCTGCGAGGCGAAAGGGGCAGTGCGGGCAGCGGGAGGGTCACATGTTCCGACGGCAGCCTATGAGCAGCCCCCCGGGCTGAGGCAAACTAATCTGAGGCCGGCCGCCCCCGCCCCGGTCCCCCCTCCCAACCTGGACTTCGTTTTTATAAACGTACCGCCAGGATCCAACCTGTTGGAGGCAAATAACCATCCGCATCATGCCCGGCCGGGGACCGAGCCGCCGCCGCCGCCGCCCGCGATGTGCAAGGCCATGAGCAAAGCAGCGAGCTGGGACATGGACGGACTGCGCGGCGACAGCAGCGGCGGCGGCGGCGGCAGCGGCGGCGGCGGAGCCCCCGGGCAGTGCCGTAACTTTCTCTCCTCGCCCGTTTTCGGGGCGGCGCACACGGGCCGAGCGGCCGCCGCCGCCGCTGCCGCCGCCGCCGCCTCGGGTTTTGCCTACGCCGGCGGAGGGGAGCGCTCGGGGGCGGCGGCGAGGCCCGACCCCCCGACCAAGGACTGCCCGGGCTCCACCGCGCCGGCCGCCGCCCCCGCGCTGGGCTATGGGTATCACTTTGGCAATGGATACTATAGCTGCAGGATGTCCCACGGGGTCGGGATTCAGCAAAACGCCCTGAAGTCTCCCCCCCACGCCTCCATTGGCGGCTTTCCCGTGGAAAAGTACATGGACGTCTCCAGCTTGACCAGCACGAGTGTCCCCGCCAATGAAGTCTCCTCCAGGGCAAAGGAAGTGTCCTTCTACCAGGGCTATACAACCCCCTACCAGCACGTTCCTGGGTACATAGACATGGTCTCAACGTTTGGCTCTGGGGAACCGAGACACGAAACATACATATCAATGGAGGGCTATCAGTCTTGGACTCTGGCTAATGGCTGGAATAGTCAGGTTTACTGTGCCAAAGATCAGACACAGAGCTCGCACTTCTGGAAATCGTCCTTTCCAGGTACGAGAGGGGGAGAAATGGTCTGAGCAGAGCACCCCCGCGCCTCCTCCGCCTTCCCGTCCCCTCCCCCGCCCCCGGGCTGCAGGGGCGGCCTGCCGAGCCGGACACGCCGCACAGACACGCATAGAGCAGGGTGGGGGCGGTGGATATTCTCTTTTTCTCACTCCCCCCTCGGCCGTCTACCCCCGAGAAAATCCTCACCCTCCGCTTTCCATAGCCGCGGGACTGACCCCAGAACCTCCCGCCACCAGCGCCAGGGCACCCCCGGGCCGTGAGCCCCGAGGCAGCCCCGGTCTCCTTCTCCCGCTGCTTCCCTCGGTGGCCGGGTTTAGAGTCGCGTTTGAAGTTTGCAGGACGGTGGCTCGAAGGCTTGCTCTCCTCTGCCTCTCCGGCTGGCGACTGATCCGGCGGCCCCAGAGCACTTAAGAGACCGCGAGCAGTGAGGGCACAGAGGCACAAACCACATGCAAACAAACCCGGGGAACTCTCAGCAAAGCGATTTCTGTGTGTGCGCTGCCAGCAGCGAGCCGCTCTCAGCCCCCCAGCCAATGCCCCACCGCCCTGCATGCTCGGTTAGCGATGCATGCCTGAAAAGTGATGACAGTCCATCAAAGTTTTGGTGGGGCTTTACTAGAGTGCAAATAATGTGGCAGTGTAAATAATAATAAACTGTAAACAACCCGGCATTATTTATTTGCCCATGAAAACCAGTGCCCAACAAGTATCGGTTAAGCTTTAAAAGCCTGTAATAAAATTCTGATTTTTCACATAATGTCTTTTACAATAGGGGACGTTGCACTAAACCAGCCCGATATGTGTGTCTACCGGCGTGGGAGGAAGAAGCGAGTGCCGTATACAAAACTGCAGCTTAAAGAACTCGAGAATGAATATGCCATTAACAAGTTCATTAACAAGGACAAGAGGCGAAGGATATCCGCAGCCACAAACCTGTCTGAGAGACAAGTTACCATTTGGTTTCAGAACAGGAGGGTGAAGGATAAGAAAATAGTCTCCAAACTGAAAGACAACGTATCCTGATACATTAATTGCGGACAGTGATGAAAATATACACTCAATTTACCACCAGCTAAAGACTTTTGAAAAGACTTGAAAATATATTTAAATTTTTTGTCCTTCCAGCAGTGGCGAAATTTCGGGAATTGTTTTCCGTGAAAGTCAGCGTTTTTCTCTCAGTGTAAGGGAGTGTTGACAAGTCTTGAATTGAATTATAGTTTCTTCTTTTTGAAAATAATAATAATATTAATATTAATTATATTTTCTGTTCTTCCCTCTAGGCCAGTATAAACGAATTTAAATATGTTGGACGGTAAAAGCTATAATTTTTTTGATGCTTAAGTCTTTGGGGGGTATTCTGTGATTTTTCTTTTTTTCTTTTTTTTTTTCTCTCTGAGCAACAGCCGGTGCCAGAAAGTGTCAGTTTTGATTTGGTATCGTAAACTTCAAAACACGCCGAGTGAAAAAAAAAAATCTTTCGGAAATAGAAGAAAGCCGGAATACAGACCCGTGGCAGCACCCGGCTTCTGCCAAACTTGCCTGGTCCACTGGGACCCGGAGAGAATTGAGCGGAGGGTTCCTGGCTGCAGCAGAGTTTTTGATTACTTTGTCGAGGAAGGGAGAACCTCTCCGAGCTGTTGCGGGGCGCAGAATCGCAGGCGCGTCCCACCGCGCTCCCCGCTTCCGCGGGTTTGGGGTTGAGCTTGGGTTTGTGCGTTTTATCCGCCGCAGTTTCGTTTTCAGTGCGAGGAGTCCGCGCTGCCCGGCTGGAAGAGGAGCCCCGGCTGGAAAAGGGAAGCTCTCGTGTCCCGGGCAGGGGCTGAGCGCTCCGCGGAGGCGCAGATGGCGATGCCCGGGGCAGCGCTTCGGGCAGGACGGCTTGGGCAGCTCGGCCTGCAGCCAGAGGAGAGGCTGCCCCTGCAGAGGTGTGTATGGACCTGCACAGACCTGGCGGGGAATGTCCGCTCTGCCCTGTTTGTCTGGACCAGCCCGAGATTCTTCTACTTCCTCACGCCCAAAAGCTCCTTGATGGACAAGCGAAGGTCACTGCTAGGTTTTAATTTACAAAACTAAACGGGTGTTTATGACAGAAGCAATAAATAAAGAAATTCAAAAGATGCCATAATTTATATGGGCCGAAAGGCTAAGATTTTGTCGATTTTTTTATTATTTTAAACCTAGTGTGCATGTTATGATATACACAGGGTGATCAGACACGCTAATCAACAGCTAGGAGAGAGAAGCGGTATCCTCTCTGTTAATGTGCCTCATCTAATTATTAAAATGTGTTCCAAACTAGTATTATTTATTATAATATACTATTGCTCTAAACATTTTGATTATCCTTGTATGTGGTAAGACATACGATAAACCTATTTCTCCATAAACGATTTTTTAAAAATTTGTCTTAAAGTCAGCTTTTACTTTGTGTTGCAAATACAATCTGAACTTCCAAACTGTTAACGATGTTGCAAATCTTTTCCTGAACCATCTTTAATAAAACTATTTCTTTTCGCTGTATATAAAAAGAGAAGAAAGAAATTCGCCTTCTTTTGCCGCAGGGGGTTTCACGGGCTCCAGGTTTGCCTGGAATCCTCTCAGGGACACAGGACGCCGTTCCTGGCAAATGAGAGGTAGATAGAAGGGGCATTAAAGGATGAGGGAGAGCATCGGAGGGTGCCTTGTCGGCAGGAAAGGGTTTTAGTGAGAAAGAAATGCTGCCGGTGAGAAGCACGGGGCGTGGGAAGCAGGCGAAGGGCTGTGTGTCCCCTGTCCCTCTGAGCCCCGCTCCGCCTGCCCTCGGCCTTTGTTCTCCCTTCCCAAAGCGTCCCGGCACTTGCTGCTTCCCCGGGCCGGCCCGGAGCGATGCCCTCCGTTTTCTCCGCAGCCGGCTGGCTCCATCGGGAGGTTATCTTCCGCCTCTTCCGCCCTCTTCCTTCCCCTTTCTGCTCCGCTCGTACGTTCATGGCGTTTGTTTTCCCTGAAAGGACGAAAAAAGTCAATTTCTGAGCAGTTCAGATTTTATCGCAAAGCGCGTTTTTGTTTAATTCTAGTATAAAAGGACACTTGTGCCCCTCTTCATTTACGTGCCTGGAACAGCCCGCTCTGCTGATGCAACCTTCTTTTCTCCGAATGTTTTAAATTCTTGTCTTCTCCCCCTTGGCACCCCCACTCACCCACACATACTGCTATTAATTCTGCAGAGGTTTTCCTCCCACCGAGCCTCCCTGCAGACGGACGGCCGGGCACTGCCAGAGCTGTTTTGTTTCCCGGCCGCGGAGCCATCGCGGGCTGCTCTCTTCCTCCTTCCAGGCTTAACCTTTGGCTTTGCCGGGCTCCGCGCTTTCAGAAGGCGCAGTTTGCCGAGCCAAAGCCGCCTTCCTCGGGCAGAATGAAACCCGAACTCTCATGCAAATCGGTACCAGATGGAGAGGAGTAGCCTTTTAGTTTCCTAAGAACGTGCAGAATCATTAAGAAGCCAGCAGCTACAGGCGGGAGGAAGATGAGGCGCACATCTGCCCTCCTACCTACCGGCTGAAATTAAAAGGGTTTTCTAAGCCTGGAGCTGGGGCATTGGTGAGCCTTATTCAAAACCTCCTCGGCCACAGCTTGGGCTCTTCAGGAATCAGCTGCACGTGGGCCGGGACCGGGCTGCAGCCGCGCAGCCCCAGCCGCCCATGTTCAGAGAAGAGGGTATGAAGGTTCGTCTGAAATGTAGCGCACGTTATTGCAGATAATTAACATGTACCTCGACAAAGCGAATTGCAAATGCACGGTGGCGCAGTGATGCATTGCTCGGCTCCTGTCAGGCAGCGCTGTTTCCCAGCCATGTCTGAGGCAATCCTGCCATCTCCTGGACAACCCCTGGCATAGGCAGGGGAAGCCTTCCCCTCGCTCCGGGCGCCGCGTTTCCGAGTGATAAACGAGCGAGGGAGGCTGCTCGGTCACACGCAGAGCACCCTTCGTCCGTAAACGGGAAGACTGTGCCAGTGAAATTACAGCGTGTGGTCAGCTCTGATGTCCAGGCCTAACCGGACGCCTGGTTAAAAACCAGGGCGGGGGGGGAAAGAGCGGAAAAGAGGAAAGGAGCGTGTGAAAGCAGGCCTCCGGGTCGCCCTGCTCCTCAGCGGTGATATTTCCTGTACAGACACAGGCGGGGGGACACCCGAGGCATTAACACGCCGCCCCCAAACCAGCAGCCGGCTGTGGCTGGAAAAAGCAGCACAAGCCCGTACGAGGCTCTCCTTCCACTCCACCCCGCTCCCCTCGGCTCCGAGGCCAGCCGCCTCTGGAACATGATGTTTCTGTAAATGTTTTTCCATGTAGATTTAAACACTTTCCGTAACTGTGAGTGTCTCCAGCTATTTCAGGTTTTTATTATATTATCTTTTTTTTTCCTTTCTTTTTCTTTTTATTTTTTTTTTTTTATTAATTAGCAATTACAAATGAGTTGAATATTAATTGAAAGCTCTGTTTTCTCTAACCCCATAAAAGTTAGTTTGAAGTGTCACCTTTCTTTCCGGTAACTGGGAACTCACATCCATTCCTTGTGTTTATTGCGGACAAAAATATAGCCTTTGAACTGAATGTTCCTTTTCTCTTCCAAGAACCGAAAATAAGTTCTTTCGTAAAAGGCGATTATGAAAATAAATATATATTTCCCATCTTCTTAGGGAACACAAAGTTAGAATACAAGTCAGCTAATAAGAGGGAGATTCAATTGGTAGACATAATTCAAACAATAAAAATTAAAGGCAGTGGTCAGCAATATCCTCCAGCGGTGCTTGTGTGGTCCTGTGTGGTCCAGGAGAGAGCAATCATTTAAAGATTTTTTTCCAGGGCAATGAAATTACTGCAGAATTTCCCTCAATTTCCCATTAAACAGAAAGATGAATTTGATTAGGACAATGTCAAGAAGGGCAGCGTCTCTGATCTCGCCTTAGAAATAAAACCAAGATTAAAACTGTGATTAAGAGGATAATAACAGGGAAAATTAACCCTACATGCTAACTAGGTTCAAGTTTTTAACCGAGGTAATGAAAGTGGCAAAGCCCGGGCATTAAGGCTTCGCTTGACGCCGGACTCGCACACACCGGGGAGACCTTGGGAGAGAGGCCGGGGACAGAAACGCCCGCTCCGGGTGGCGGATCGGCCTCCAGAGCGTCCCGCGGATGATTTGTGGGTGGCGGGGCAGGGAGCGGCCGGCAGCGCGGAGCCCATGGGTACCCCGCTCCTTCCCCGGCCCCCAGCTCCCCGCCAGGGCTTCGGGTGAGATCGCGGGGCCTTCCCTCTTCTCTGGCTCCCTAACCGCACGGTTTGGGAAAGGACGCGAGCAATCTCCTGTGAGGATGCTCTCAGATATGATTTTAATAACTCTGGGGTTGTGGGGAAATGAGAGAGAAAATGGAATAAATGGGCTCTTGTTTGATCAATCGAAAATATAAAAATATGTGTAAGACCCCAAAATAACACAGTAATAAAACAGTGAGGGATGATTTTCTTCTCATGAGAGAAAAGCTCCTCACACACAACCTGGGAGATGAGGCTGACTCTCCCCTTCCCCTGCCCGCTGCTGCATTCATACCCTCTCTGCTGAAGAGCAGACCCTGGCATTTTCTTTCTTGAAGTCTTCTATTTTATTTATTTGTTTATTTATTTATTTAATCTCAGAGGGTTGCCCAAGCTATTCCGTGTTGTTGCTGTTGTTATTCTCTGTTTGTTGATGTTTGTTTGATTGTATTTCAAAGACGAAACAGATTCCGAGTTTTAGAAGCATTGTTCGCCAGAAGCGCTTCCAAGTGAAGATGAAAGGCAAAAGGGGTAAAAAGGGCAGACATGCGGACCTGAGAGAATGCTGGTCATTAGTGTGCCAGAATGACGATCTCGGTAATATCCCATCGATTTACACTTTATTTGCACGCATATGCAGATGCATATCATGCAGTTGGGGGCAGAAGTACATACGTATGCCCTAAACATCCACATCTCACAGACATCACAAGTCATTTCCAGCCCTCGGTGCT